TAGGTTAGTAAGTTATTCAGCATAAAATGAAATGAAGAATAAAAAAGTTCCAATCATTTGTAAAAGAAAAATTAAGTAGAAATATTTCAATGTCACATGTATCTTTTAGCCAATGATAACTTTTTCTGTTGTACATCGACCAAAGTTTTCAGGTGAATACATTTCTTCAGCTTTAGCTGGTGGAATGATAAACGTTCCAGCACATGTTGCACGCATAACATAACTCCATTCGTATACACCAGGCCACAATAATCTTCGAAATGCTTCAGCACGTTCATCTCTTAAATTTTCATATTCAGTCCAACCAATCGTTGAATATAATCGATATTCATTATAGCGGCTGTTTCTTTTTGATCTTGCTACTGATGAATTTGTATAATCTGTCAAAGTACCGTTAAATTTCGTATTCAATGGTTCACAACCAGCTGGTAAATAATCAACTAATGCTACATGATATCGTTGTTGTGTTGTTGACATTGTTAATGTGACTTTAATTTTTTCATTTAGTTTGAAATTCCAAGTTCCATTGGATTGCTGCTGAACATATGATGAATAATCCATAGCTGTGTATGTTCGTTCAATTTTAAAACCATAGTTAGCTGCATTTATTTGTAGACTTAATGGAGCATAATCCATTGCAATACGATAGTATAATCGACCATTGCCACGTTTATGCATCACTACGTCCTTATCGTTACTACCCATGTTAAATGATGATGACGGCGCTAGAATTTCTCTCATCGGAATACTCACTGTATATGTATTTGTCGTTCGACCTATACACATTAAGATAAGAAATCAGAACACGTAATATATATACCTCGAAATCATTCGCTTAGATGTAGACATTTAAAAAAAGCGATATAGGCAGAACTACATGGAAATTGATTTTCTTTTTCTTTTGATTTCATCTTACCTTTATATTGATGTTGACCGCAATAATCATTGTCATACCAAATATTAACAACACAATCTGGTGTATCTTTTTCTTTAATGTGAAAATATTTATCTAATGCAATTAATACAAAACAATTTTCCTGTGTTGATTTCCATGCACCTTTCACTTTATGTGCTTGTAAACCTTTACATAATTTAGTACAAAGGGTGGATTCTGGATCAATATACAATAATGATTCTAATAGAATATCATCTGTTCGTTGATTTGAATGGAACATTACTGATTGACCATCATCACCATAGGATGTGATAAAATTCGCTGTCTCACTTGTTTCGTTTACTTTACCTTTTAAATATTTATATATTAGTTCAATTGTTTGATGATTATCATGACTTTTGTCAGCAGACAAGGCGACTAATAGCCATCCTAATGCTTCTAAACTAAGTTTATCCAATCCACTTCGCTGAAATACTTGTAAAGCTTGATCAGCTATGTTTTGAAGAAATTTTGCTCGTACATATAATGCATAACTGATCAAACTAAATCGAGTTTTTTCCGACCAATGTTTACTGTAGGGTAATTGATCAATTTCAGATTCAATATTTTCAAGATATTTTAACGTATTTTCCAGCATATTATGGTCAACGTCAAATACCTGTAAAGTAATCGAAAATAGTTCATATTCAAAAATTTGTTCACAGTACACTTTTCATTATTCAATCATATGTGGATCAAAATTCTTACGTACCTTTTTATTTAAAACGACAGCTAAACAATGAGCAGCATGGACACTCATATATGGATCAGGATGAGAATCTTTTTGATTTGTCCAGTAACCAAATCCACCATTTGGATACTGGCGACCTTTTAACATATTTATATCTGATTCTAATTTTGTTTTCAATACTGATATATCAGGTAATTGTTTACAATGAAATGCTTGCAGAACATTCCACAGTGATTGTATACCTAATATTCTTGAACTTAATTGTTCTGTACATTCAAATCGATATGTATAAAGCGAAATAATTGCATCAGTTAATGATGCTAATGCTGTTGAGCTTGTTGTTATTGATAGTTCACCGTATTGTGGAAGAACATGCTTTGGTGTCTTTATTGGCTGTAAAACAACTTCTTCATGTGTATCACCGTATGTTGCAAATGCTTCTGATGTCGCTGGCATAAATACAGGCAAACCTATTTCGATGGCATCACCGAGTGATGGAGATGCTTTATTTCTAGGAGTATTGACTATAAACTGAAATCGAGCTGTACCAGCATGCACTGTTTCTATTGGAAACGTAATAGCAGCTCGTTTATTTGGTGGTAGAACAATTGAATAGCCAAATGCTGGTCGATTTGCTTGTGCTGTTAATAATTTTGCATTGGTTGCCTTCAAACCAGTATGTAATTGTAGTGATAGATCGGTTTGATTTTGTAAAATAACTGAGAAATATGCCGTATCTCCATAATTCAGAAATCTTGGTAGTGAAGGTCGAATCATAATCGGTAGTTGTACAGTAAGTGACATTTCACCGAAACCATATTGTTTATCATTGGTTGCTAGTGCCCACACACGGTAGCGTGTAAGATTATCAGGTAATTTGATTTCAATTGAAACACGCCCAGAGGAATCAGTGACTGACGAAGGTGTCCAACATGCGAGGGGATTGAAGTTCGACCGAACATTTATTTTTTGCCCAAGGTCGTAGGCACTTGACTTAAACTTACCGCGGCGCTCACCACCACCACCGCCTCCACCACCCCAACCTCCATCTTCGTCTGAGTAGAGACTTTCTTTTATCTTTTTCTTAAGGTGTTCTACTTGCTGTGGATCGAATAGCAAGCAACGAGTTCTACTATGAAATTGTGTAATCTTTTTCGATCGACCAGGATAAAATATTTCTAACAGGCTCTGTAATTTGTGATCAGTTAATGATAAGATTGCTTCATCAACAACAATTAAACAAACTTCTGCTTTTTTAGCAGGTGCATTATTGACATACTGTCTAACGTCGATATCGATATGGATGGTCGATGATGGTGTATAGATTTTATTTGATTCATATGTATCAACCGAAACATTTAGCTTATAGAAATCTCTTGATACCTCTAATGACATGGAATGAGAAGCAATTGCTGGACGATATGGTGAATCGGTTACTTTCATTTCTCTTGGAGTTGACCCGATTAATTCAGCATGAACCGTAAAATTTGGTATCCAATCTTTTGATATTTTAAATTCAACAGTTGCTGAATCTTTTCCGGATTCTATTTGAAATCCTATTGGTTGTGACACTTGACCATCGCAATCGAGCAGAATGAGACCATTAGCTGGACTAAACGGAGCTATAATGAGTAATTCACACATGTCTTCTGGTCCATAACTTTTTGCATTCGGAATAATTCCCAATGAGTCCATTGGAACATAGCTATTTACTTCATGTTCATCTGTTTCTTTTTCATTGTCATTGTCATTGTCTTTTTCTTTTTCTTTACCACCGTAGACGTAATAGTTTTTATAGGAACTCATAGCTAATCGTCCTTGTTCATCTTTGACGCTATACGATATATTGTATCTACCCCCTAATAATAAATAGAAGTTATGAGCTTTTTACTGTAAAACAGCACTTTCTGTATTCCATACATGCTGACCAATATCATATTCAAATGTAACGGTAGCGTGTAATTTTTGATAATCAAGATTTGATCGTAATGAGTCAAACTCATTATAAAAATCTCTCTCTCTCTTCTAGGTGTCTCTAATATGATATTTTTAAATAAAAGTAGTTATTTTAATCCACATATATACTTATGTGAAAATCATAACAGAAATTCATCTATGGTTTTCGTACAAAGATTTTTCATTCTCACAAACGCTCTGCTTACCTAGTTTTGGTATATAATCAAGAATAACTGCATCTTTATTTGAGCTAACAACTGTTAATTTTTGTTCATCTGTTATTTCTTCAAATATTGTTAAACCATTCTGATCTTCTTTTTGTTCCTTGCCATATCCAATGACTTCGCATTGAATCAAAATATCGTTAATCAAATTTCCATCAATATCTGTTACGATGACTTCTGTTCGAACAGGTTCTCCTTTCTTACCACAACTTTTTACGTACCGAAATCCAACATAATATCTACATGGATGTATGAGAAAATCTCTTCCTGTTTCTTGTGTTTGAGAATTCAAATCAGTGATAGCTGCTAATGCACGAACAATGATTGGTTCTTGTGCAATGCCATGATAAATAATTCTTATTTCATGTTGGCCTTTATTGTCTGTTTTGCCCTGAAAGTAAATAAAAAATAATATCAGCATCAACAATAATGCTTTACGTGCTGGAGTCAAATCTTTATTACCTGAAAATGCTTTTTTGGGTATGATATATTGTTTTGAGTATGACGACGAGAAAAGTAAGAGAATGACTGCGCTCTTCCAAATATATAATCAGACCTATTAGCCGGTGTATATGTTGTTGATTCAGCTTGTACTATCCATTGAACGCTTGCATCACTTAGATATCCACCAGCAAATAGTTTTCCTTCACAACTAATGACAACGTATTTATCAACCGTTGGATGACAGTAGTATGCTGTTGACGATCGAATCATTGATGAGACTACATATTCTGGTCTTCGAAATTCTTGAATTTCAAAATAATGTGTTGTTTCGCTTTTTGAATCTGGTAGACGGAATTCGACGTATCCTGTACCTAATAATAACACGAAATTGAAATCAATGAATCATTCTTTTAGAATGGACAAACTTGCTCAAGTAAAACCTTCTAAGAAGTTACATTTATGAACAGCTGCATTCAGATATTTTTATTTGAGAATGTAGTAATATTAATTTAGTTCTTATAAAAAAATATATTTCTTTCTCTGAAGATCTGAAGTGCAAATGCGAACGAACACATTCTAGACTAAACAAATTCAAGGCCTTACTAAAAGATGTAAAAAAATAGTGGAATATGGGAGCTGCAAAAACATCCTCGTTTACCTAAGTTAACATTATCAGGTAATGTAAACTTGATGTCAAATGCTCCGTAACGATTCAATTTCACTTTTGATTCTTGAAGTTGTTCACGTCGAGGATCACAAATTATATAATCAATGACACCTTGGGCATAAGTAGGTATTTTTGCTTCACCTTCTATCTTCACTAATCGAACATAACCTTTTATATGTACATCTTCTTTTGGTCTGTACAAGCCACGATCATTGAATACATGCCAAACGTAAACATCATCAGTTGATCGAGAAGGGTAGATATCTACTTCCATATAGAGATCATCACCTTTCTCTACGACTAATATTTCTTTTTTTGTGTTTTCTTGTGGCTTGCACCTTCCAATGGTACATAATCCTTGTTGATTTGTCATTTCTTTTTGGTTCAATATTGAAACAGTTGCTTGATCGATGGGTATACCAGTCATTAAATTAGTAACCAATGCAGTTAACGTACCGTCCTTATCTATAATAAAAAAAAATGCTATTACCATTATTCCTATGGTCCAGTGCATTTGCGTGTGAAATGTAAATATATCTCCACTCTCAGTCTTACACAAAAGGGTCTTCACATGCGGATTGTTTTATGACAAAACAAACTTCCAGTGAGAACCACCAGACAGTTTTTATTAAATTGTTTTAGTCATTTTCCTACAGCTGTATGTCTTTGTCATTACTAATGAAGTCTATGATAGAAATCGAAAAAAAACTTACTTGAAGAAGCAAAAGTATCGACAGCTAACCGAGTACATTGTAGCCAGACTAATATAGCTCGTGTATTTCCCCAATATCTATGTTCACATTCCTTGTATGCCTTTTTTGTTGTTGTAATGAATATAAACAATTGACCGACTCCAGAGGATTTCGTGAGATATGCTTTCAAGGAAATTCTTATCTCCTTCGGTTCATTTCGTTGACAGTTTGTTTGTATAATTTCATTTAGCAATTCTTCACCAGGTATGTTATGGTTATCTTCTATTGCTTCATTTTGATCTTCTTCTTCTTCTACGTAGTCGTTGTCGTCGTCAAAACCGGCACTGAATTTTAGTACATTTGGCTTATAATGCTCTGGTTTGACTCGATTAATTCGGATTATTAATTCTGAATAGTTACAAACTATAAACGAGTAATGCGGTTCATATAATAGACCAGGATCCATTATAATAAGACCTAAAATAAGTATCCTTTTATTGAGAATATCTTTATTTGTTTTTGAGTAGTATACCTGATTCACCCCTCAATATTCCATATAATGGTGAATTTGATTCTTCTACGTGAAATTGAATTGGTTCTTCCGTAGGATCTTGTTCAAATGTTTGACCATAAACGTCTTTTAATATTCCTGGTTGTATAGATAATGTATAGACAGTATTTGGTTGAGAATTATTAAGTATTGTTATTTTTTTACTATAGTCGTTTGTATGTTCAATACCTAGAAGAACTTTTTCTTTAAGCTTGATTTTGTTTACAATCAGACTTATTTTAAAACGAGTTTTCTCTCTGCTCACCTAAATCGCTGACTATCGGCTCGACTTTGAATATGGATTTTTTAATCGCTGAATGATCTAAGGAATTATTAAATCTAATTGACCAACTTTGACCAGGACCAACAGTCTGCTGGTCCTCATCGTTTATATTCGGAAACCAATCAATGATTTTTAAAGGTTCATAAGTGCAGAATTCAGCTGACCATTCTGTTGTTGTCTTTAGTGGTCCTTCGGCTGATGGACAGTCTTGAGTTAACAGAATCGTATATTCTGTTGCCTTTAATAAATCATTTTTAAATGTAAATGCAATATATTCTTGACGATTTCCTTCCTTTTGATTTAAGTACCATTTAAATTCATTTTCTGCTGTGTCTTCGTCTAATAGTTCTAATTCCTTGTTCTCCATTGTAATTCCATCACCATGCACTACACATATATGCTTGAAAATTTCATTCATATGAACTTTTTGATCGAATAATAGAAAACATCGAGGCTTTAATGTTGAAACTATTTCATCTGGTAAGTATTGTAGAACTTCTAATGTTTTCGTTGAGAATTCAAAGAAAAATTCATCATCCAGCTTTCCGAGAAATAATGAATATATCAAAAATCATCGAATTTCACACTTCAACATTACGAAAGTGTTTGAATGCATAGATAGTTATTGAGAACATCATAACAAAAGCTCAGAAATTTGAAAATATCTCGATTTTAGTTGTCTATACTATCGGATGCACTGGACAACGTCTTTAGTTTTACATGGATTTACCTCCAATTGCTGATACGCAACGAATTTTGTCCACTGTTAATGCATACTTGGTTGAATATGGAAAACGATGCTTTGCTTCAAATTGAACTGTTTTCGTGTCTATCCATCTCCATTGACCTTGGACTTTTGGTATTAATGATATACCTAGATCTTCTGGATTCCGCTGTTCATCTAATGATGAAATACTTATCATGGGTTGATTAAATGTTAATGTAACAGTTGATAATGCATAATAAATTTCTTTGTCATTAGGAGAATATCTGTCAATAATTAGTTGACCTGCCGGTCTTTGAGCAAACTGTTTTAGTTCTTCAATACTAATATCGAAATCTTCTTGACGATCTGATTGAGGGGGTGGAAATGGCGTTGTTATCATCTTACTTGTTTTTGGTACTTTTATGGTTGTTTTACGTTTAAAAGACTCTTGATCATTGGTTGATTCTGCAACTAATGCAGAACTGGCTCGAGAGAATAATTGCTCTAATTGAATTCGAGTTAAAGTCTGCTGTTGTAAATCATCATGTAGTGATGCTTCTTCAACATCAGTCATAGTTTCACTATCCGCTTCATTTGCTTCATCAATATCAAAATCAAACAAAGGCGGCTCCGACTGTTCATCATGGAGCCGATGCTTTAATTTCGGTTGCATTCTTTTTATGAAATCTCGCTGATATATTCAAAACACCGTATGAATGCAATATAAATACTATAGAGCTAAACGAAGCAGGTAATAAGTTTTCTTGTAGAACAATTGCTAAGAAAAAATCTCAATACTGTGTTCTTATGAAATGCTATACTTTCGCACAAATTCATCAGAATGTTTTCGTCACCTTTTCTATGTGTCAATATAAGTTTTAGTCTACGATCATTTTAAACTGGTTCTAACGCTGTCTCAGATTGATCGAATTTGGTACCATCACTGCGCTTTATTCTGTCATTACCAATCCTAAGCAACGTTTTTAAAAATAGCTATTTAAAACGAAAAAAGTTTCTCATCTCATTGTATCTTACCGTTAAATATCTTTATCGTGTTCCAGTCATTGAAATTTTCATATTTTTTCTACTACTTGTAAGAATGCCAATAATGTTATGAAATGATCTGAAACCAAACATTCATCTAAGTACGTGAGAAAGAAGAAGAAAAAGAAACATTATGTCGCCACAACAAAAAACCACTCTTGTTGTATGTGTTATAATCACGCAGAAAAGAGAAAAAGCATCACATGGTAACGAAACAAGTTTGCTTGAAAAGTAGGCAAGCATAAAACTATACAATAGAAGGAAAAGAAACATAATACTTCATCAGTATAAACAATTTGAGCAAGTTTTTAATGTATTGATGTACGCAAAAAAAAGTGAGCGTTACACTCCGATATACACAAACACATGCGCGCCTCTCATTACAGGGATCTCCATCATAGACCTTAGCAACCAAGGATAAAAGTTAAAAACATTATTTTATATTAGTTTATTAAGGCCAAAGGACATGTATAAGTTCCAGATTTCAGTTCGGACAAGGGTTGCTCTAACAATTATAGAGCAGCAATATCACCATACACTGCTACAACTAATAAATGATCTTTGTTGTGATATACTGGGTGTGGATGTGGGTGTCGGTGCGGGTGTGGGGTGTGGATATGGGTGTGGGGTGTGGGTGTGGGTGTGGGTGTGGGTGTGGGTGTGGGTGTGGGTGTGGGTGTGGGTGTGCG